TTTAGGGGTGAAAGAAGGTCAAACAGATCAAGATTGCTACCTGGGCTAGCAACATGCTGTTTCTGCACTCGGTTTCATGTTTTTGTTTGTTTTTTCTGGACTGGGCGTTTCGAGTTTGTGGTATCATTTTGGACACAGGTCCCAGTAGAGTGTGATTCAGACGTATCGAGTCGGACGTGCTCTGCGAGTGTACTGGTGCTCCCTGAGAGGTAGCAGGGACAACTAACCACGACTATCCCTGCGCAAAGTAGCCTTAGCTACTTCAAGAGGAGTCGCCGGTACAGCTGTGCTGCCGCATGAACACTGCGGAGCTGAGAAATCATAGCAGTGGACTTGTGGCTTGTTGGAGGTGCGGCTCTCACACCAAAACCTACACCCTAAACCCGCCCAAGCATGCTTAGTTTTTTTGGGGGAGGTATCTTACAGCCAACCAAGGAAGTTGGACAAACCTGTTTTGCCTTGCCTTTTGAAGCCAGGAGGGTGCGTCACGAAGCTGCGATGTCTCAGAAAAGCTCCTGAAAATGGCCTCTGCACGCATTGATGCTCACGAAGACCCTGTGCACCAAGAAGGGCCTGTGCCTGGCCATGAGGATTTGTATCGGCATTCAGGGTACTAGCTCTCTAGCTGAATACCCGAAAAGCCCAAGTTTCCCCCAAGGTTGACAATCCTAACCCTGACACCAATAATGATTGAATCTCCACAAGATATCCTTGTCAAAACCGGCGCCCGAAACTCCGAGCCACATCCCCCACATCACCGCCCACCAGACCCGCGCCCTAAACCGCCCAAACTGCAAACCCTAAAAACATAAACCTTTCTGCATAGGATTTAGGGTTTAGGGTTTAGGGTTTAGGGATCTTCCTTGAAACAACAGGTTGCAGGTTCGATGGTGGCACTGGGCCCTTCAAGGCAACCGAAATTCGGTGGACGGCAGAGTGACCAGAGGGCCACTACGGGGTTTCGTCTAACCCTGAACCCTAAACCCCACTGAACCCTACACCCTTCAGGAGGTTTCTGGCTGTAGAGCCGTGATGACTGGGTTCTGAATAAGAAGAAGTAGTGTGATGCCTAGTGATATCCTCAACTGGGGAAAGAACACCTCCATAAACCTTATGAAGCAAAACCTAACCCTGAACCAAAAGCTTGTCCCTAAACCCTAAACCCTAAACCCTAAACCCTAAACCCTAAACCCTAAACCCTGTACCCTGAACCCTAAACCCTAAACCCTAAACCCTAAACCCTAAACCCTAAACCTAAACCCTAACCCCTAAACCCTAAACCCTAAACCTTGCCCCAAATAAGGATTCTGGCATGAGTCCTTCAAGGTCCTTTGGGAGAAGCCGTCTGAATTCGCTGGCCTCTCCATCATCTGGCTGCGCGATCTCTCTCAATCCGGGGCTCTGAGGTACCCCATGGAGGGTTTAGCGTTTAGCATTGAGCATTTAGCGTTTACACTAGGGTTTAGGGTTTAGGGTTTAGGGTTGAGTTTGGCAGATAGGGTTTGTCGGGTTTGGCGCGGCTTAAGGGTCAGGGTTCAGGGTAGCTGGAGCAGCAGTAGGGTCTTGGAATGCGCATGCGAATCATACATCTGCAGACCTGTTTTGGAGGGGTTTAGAGTTTAGGGATGGTTTAGGGTTTAGGCTTTAGGCTTTAGGCTTTAGGCTTTAGGCTTTAGGCTTTAGGCTTTAGGCTTTAGGCTTTAGGCTTTAGGCTTTAGGCTTTAGGCTTTAGGCTTTAGGCTTTAGGCTTTAGGCTTTAGGGACCCTGAGCTTTCCGGGGACCGCACAGCCGCTAGAATCCACGCCCTTTGGCAAGGATGGCGGGAGGCCATGAGAAGGGACCCTCAAGGAAGAAGTGGTGAAGACATCTTGAATCATCTCAACACGGTATGGGTTTAGGGTTTAGGGTTTAGGGTTTAGGGTTTAATTCGGGTTCAGGGTTTAGGGTACAACACTCACTATGCTGTATGGCCTATGTAGGTCCCTGTTTTTATTTCAATCGCACGTCAACTCGAAGCGCCTCTAGCATTAAGAACAGGTTCCATAAACCCTGTAGAACTTGGGATGTTCCTCCTTGCACGAACAGTCCTTCATTCTAATCCCTATACGATTAAGGACTGGTAGTATAAGAGGAACACTCCAACCTTCAGACCTTCATAGAACCCCCCAGTGACGAGACAACGATGGGGCGACTCGGGTTTCGCAAGCGTGCACGCGCGCATGATGGAACTTGTGGAGATGGGGTCTAGGGTTTAGGGTTCTATAGAACCATGTGGGGGTTTCCGAAACTGGGGGGAGGGGGGGGTACCCTTTTTGGGGGTTCCGCTGATTATGAGTATTTGTGGTGGAATGCTCGGGGGTACCCCATTTATGGCAAATACCCATAGTTTCACTAGTTGGATGCCAAATGCCTGACCTTAGCCTTGAAATATCGTGTTGTTCTGGCAGCTCTCTCCCTGCTTCCTACACTGTTACACCCTCATGTGTGCGTGTGTGGTTTTAGGAAGTGCCGGCTGTGGGAATGTCGGCCAACAGTCTGCGGACATGTCGCGACGCTGTTTGCTTAGGCAAGCTAGCCTGGAGCACTTTTCAGGGTTAGCCAAATTTGTTTCCCTTAGCCCTTATCCCTCAACCCTAAACCCTAAACCTGGAGTAGACTTTATAGAAATTCGAGCTCCTGCTGAGCAGGTCTAGGGCTACAGGGGTCTGCTTGGGTTTATGAGAACCCGCTCCCCTTAGAAGGTATGAAGTTTGGGTTTAGGGTTGTTAGGGCTCTTCAGGTGTTTGCGGTGTTTGGGGCTTCTAGGGCTTTTTTCGGGTCTTTAGGGGGATTGGGTTTGGGGTGTTGTTGTTGCTTGGGGGGCGGCTTCGGGGATGTTGGTTCGACGTTTGAAAAATATTCGAGCTCCTGGACGTTTGGAGGTTTCCCACACAAGTCAGATCTGAGGTGTTCTCACATGCGACTTAGACCCCTGAACTAAAAAACCGACCCTCCACCCTTCCCAGCAACAGAAGACCCGGCTGCAGGTTGAGATAGGTTTCTGGGGTCCGGCACCGTGCTCTCTCAGCTGCGACCGAAATCCGGCAGGCTTTCTTCTAGCTTGAGCTGTGGCCTCAGGGCATCTCCAAACCAGCCAGCCGGGTTCAACCCTCAACCCTATAAACCCTATAAACCCTATAAACCCTATAAACCCCATAAACCCCATAAACCCTATAAACCCTATAAACCCCCTAAACCCTATAAACCTCCTAAACCCGAAACCCTAAACCCTAACCCCTACCCTAAACCCTAGGGTTCTGGGTCCTATCTAGGCGATCCTGAGAGTTAGGAGGTGTCCACGATGGCAGCAGCTCTCGGGGGGACGGGAGACGTCGGAGCAGGAGTGCTTAATTGGGGTTTAGGGTCTATAGGGTTTAGAGTTTAGGGTTTAGGGCTTAGGGTTTAGGGTTTATAGGGTCTATAGGGTTTAGGGTTTAGGGTTACTATATTCTTACCCAAGCAAGAGGATCCTTTTCTCTGCCTTCGCAAGCCTGCAGCAAAGAACCACATAAAATAGCTTTCAAGAAGGCACTCCTCACCAGGAAGTCCGAGGTGTTTCCCTTTGGCTGCAGATTAGGGAATGTAACTTGCAGAGGGGGTTCGGCAAGGTTGTCTAGGGGGCCTACGCCCCAAATTGTTGTGGTTGAGGGTTCAAGGTTTGGGGTTTAGGGTTTAGGGTGCAGATGATAGGAATTTTTCGGCTCGCCGGGCCGTTTGTTTTTCTCACGAGTTCTTCATACGGAATTCATGGAGGTATGTCGCGTAGACCCTGCCACGCACGCTATTGGATGGGAAGCCGAGTTGCCATCCTCCCCCCCCCCCCCCCGAACCCCCAAGAATTTTCAATCAAACCTAAACCCTAAACCCCAAACCCTAAACCCTAAACCCTAAACCCCGAACCTACAAAGGCCGAGAGTTTTCGATCAGACCCCGAAATTTGGAGTTGAGGGGTTCTAGGATGCTTGTGCTTCAGGAGGTTTAGGGTTTAGGGTTTAGGGTTTAGGGTTCAGGGTTCAGGGTTCAGGGTTCAGGGTTCAGGGTTCAGGGTGTGATGTTGGGTGTTTTTGGGAGACTTAAGCTAAGGGTTTTTGAGAGGTGGGTGTGCAGTTTGGGGAACCACGCTCTGCTGCGTGTTTTTTCGGGTTTAGGGCTTTAGGGTTTAGGGCTTTAGGGTTTAGGGTTTAGGGCTTAGGGTTTAGGGTTTAGGGGTTAGGGCTATTTTTTTCTTCAGCACAGCCAGAAAGGGCCACCTCAGCATTACTGCGCGGATTCTGGGAGCCCCGCTCCTCGTGCAATCGCCGGCAAATTGGTTGAGTCTGAGGGGGGATGAGGCTACTGTAGGGGTTTAGGGTTTAGGGTTTAGGGTTTAGGGTTTAGGGTTTAGGGTTTAGGGTTTAGGGTTTAGGGTTTAGGGTTACCAACAGTATTCCCCTATGGTCCCTTTGAAAACATACGAGAATCACCTGCAAGGTCATTCGTTCCTAATCGGCATGGCATGTGTAGCTAAACCCTAACCCTAAACCCTAAACCCTAAACCCTAAACCCTAAACCCTAAACCCTGAACGCCTAAATCCCAACCCCTAGCCCTCAGCCTTCAACCCTGAATCATTACGGTTCAGGGATAAGAAAGTATAGGGTTCCGGCTTGGGGTAGCCTTGGACTGGGCGCCTTAGTCGCCGAAATTCGGGTTTCGGAACTTTTTTTGGTGGGGGGCAACTCTGAAACACCCTCAGCCAGGGTTCAGGTGCTGCCAAGGCACTTGCAGCTTTCCCTGTCCCCACACCCTTTGACACCCTCCAACCCTAAATCCCTAAACCCTTTAGCCTAGCCCCTAAAACCCGAAACCCTAAACCCCTTACCCCCGAAACCTTAAACACTAAATCCCTCAGTTCCTGAACCCCTAAACATTTAAACCCCTAAGCCCTACACCCTCAACCAAACCTTCAGTCTGGCACGACAGGTGACCCGAAGCTACAGCAACGCTAGCAGCCACGCTCCAAGTGACGGGTAGGGTTTTTGGTGTGCAAGGCTTCCTAAACCCTAAGCTCCCTAGCTTAGGGCTCAGGGTTTAGGGTTTAGGGTTTAGGGTTTAGGGTTTAGGGTTTAGGGTTTAGGGCTTAGGGCTTAGGGTCTCTGATTCCTAAACCCTACACTTCAGCCTTAGATATGCGTGTTTTACGAAGCTAGTCGCAAGCGGGCTGTGGGCGAACTCTCAACAACCACGTGCAGGTACAACACGCAGGCTGCCCAATCCCATATAATGCCCGAAACCCTAAACAGGAAGAACACCACAAGCGTCGAATCATCATAAACGACACCAAAGTTTGCCATTGGGTTCATTAGGTTTTCAAGGCTGTGAACGAGGGCTCTTAGTGGCAGAATGACTGGTCAGGGGTTCGGGCGTAGACCTTCGGGTCTCTGATCCCTAAATCCTAAACCTAGTTCAACCCCCAACTCTGGACTCCAGAATTCGGCAATCCTGCAGCACCCCAAGCTAAACACGGGAGTGCCCTCCCCAAAACAGAACTCCCAACCGTGCTGAAACTCTTGAGCATGAAACGGCACAATGTCGATAAGCAACCCTAAACCTGAACCTTAAACCTGAAACCGTAAAACCGCAACCCTCAACCTTAAACCCTAGACCCTAAACCCACCCTAGACCCACAACCCTAAACCCTAGACCCTAAACCCTAAACCCTAGAGACCCTAAGCCCTAAACCCGGCGAGTTCCAATGATCCCCGGAAGCCTGAAACCCAATTTGGTAGGCTGGATGTATTAGGTTTCCCTTAGGGTTTAGGGTTTAGAGCTTGGGGTTTAGGGCTTAGGGTTTAGGGTTTAGGGTTAGGGTTTAGGTTCTAAACCCTAAACCCTAAACTTTAGGGTTTAGGGGTTCATAAGGTTCAGGGCTTAAGGTTTGAAGGTTTATGAGGTATAGAGTATAGTATAGGGTTTTCAGGTTTACAAGCTTCAGTGCTTTTCGTCTTAGCGGGTTCAACGAAGAACCCAGAGCACCCAGAGTCTTGATCAGCTTTCCAAATCCGCCAAGACCGGCTTATGAGGTCCCAATCGGTCATTGGCTCAAGCTGCGAGAAGCGACCCACCAGCGGTTTGCAAGCCATGTCAGCCATGTGCCCCTTGGCCGAAGCTTCGACCCTTTCGGCCGTCTAGGTGGGTGTATGGGAGAACTTCTCTAAGTTAGGGTCCTTTTCGGGGTTACCTGTATAAGGCGGCCCGTAATACTTAGAGTACCCATCAAAAATGCACCAGAATTTGGGGAACTGACCAAAGGTTTCCGAATAGATATTGGCGAGTGTAAAGTGGGTGTCCTTTTCAGGATACTAGGCATGCAAATGCTGCTTAGAATCAGGGTCCCCTTTCGGATCTATGCTCAGTATACCTACACAGCCCTGTTCCCCAAACCCTAAGCTCTAAACCCAAAAGAGCCCAAGCCCTAACTGCGAAGCCCTGAGCCCTAAACAGTCCTGTTTGGGATTTCGGAATCCAGGGTTTGAGAGGATAGAAATGTGGGCACCAGACTCCACAGTTTCGGATATAGAACTCAGCATTTGCCGCATATTCACCCTACATCTGATAAGCCACAAGCCCCCCTAAACCCTAAACCCTAAACCCTGAACCCCTGACGCCCAACAAACTAGCATTTGGAGACCCAGGTCGTCTTTCCGTAAGCCCATAGGAGCACCGGTTCTTGCAAGCCTGCGGCCCCCTAACCCCCAAACCCTGTTTAGGGTTTAGGGTTTAGGGTTTAGGGTTTAGGTTTTTTAGGATATAGGGTTTAGAAGCCCTAAGCCCCAATCCCTATCCTCCCTGAACCCCTCAACCCCGCATAGGCCGAAAAGCGATGTCGCGGCTCTTCCTCATTGCGGCCGCCGGCCACAGCGTCATGGGGGAGGCAGGGTTTAGGGTTTAGGGTTTCGGGTTTAGGGTTTAGGGTTTCGGGTTTCGGGTTTCGGGTTTAGGGTTTAGGGTTTTGCAAAACCGATGGGTTCAGGGGTTGAGGTTCCAGGGTTTGCGGTTTTGGGTGTAGGGTTTAGGGTTTAGTGGTTAGGGTTCGGGGTGCAGGGTTCAGGGCCCGAAGACATACACCGACACCCTTATCCGGGTAACTACAAACCTCCACACATGGAGACGTCAACCCTAAACCCTAAACCCTAAACCCTAAACCCTAAACCCTAAACCCTAAACCCTAAACCCTAAACCCTAAACCCTAAACCGTTATCTCTGCAACTACAAAACTGACATCTCTGAGCCCCAAGAAGCCAGGAGGACATCATCCCTGCCTGCGCCAAGTCTGGGACGAGCTATGTTGACCCGACAGTCCTGCAGGTGGGGACTCTCTGGTGGCTTGTGGAGGGTTTAGGGTTCAGGGTTTAGGGTTTAGGGTTTAGGGTTTAGGGTTTATATAGGTGGGCCCTTTCTGAAGGATGTAGTTGCTGGATAGTTTGCAGCGGGTTTAACTGGCTCTGATCTTGCTTAGGAAGCCCGAAACCTAAACCATTAAGCCTACAACGCCCTAAAGAGATGGTTTGTTACAAGGGCTAGATCCGGTGGCTTTGGACACTGGGGCTGGCTGTTCCAGGATTCAGAAGTGCAGGGTTGGATATCAGAGCTGTGTTTAGGGTTTAGGGTGGTCCCTAACCCTGCGTAGCTCCAAGCCCCTAGGCCCCAAACCCTAAAACCCTCAAACCCTAAGTCCTAACACCCCGAAAACCTCCTGAAACCCCCAAAACCTCAAACCTCAAACCCTCAAAACCCTCAACCTTAAACTCTCAACACTCCCCCCCACCCCCCCAAACCCCCTAACCCCTTAGCCCTAAACCCTAAGCCCCGAGCCCGAAACCCTAAACCCTAAACCCTAAACCTTAAACCCTAAACCCTAAACCCTAAACCCGAACAATACGCCCTGAAGCCTTGCTCTTTCTATCCCAAGCTCCAGGGGCAGTTTCACGGTCCCTGAATATGGTCCCTTGCCTTCCTTAAAGGGTTTAGGGTTTCGGGGTTAGGGGTTAGGGTTTAGGGTTTAGGGTTTAGGGTGTAGGGTTTAGGGTTTAGCGTTTAGGGTTTGGGGTTAAGGGTAGTTTCATGATCCCTTAATATGCTCTCCTGCCTTTTTAAAGGGTGCCGATGTATGGGCCCTTGGGTTGTATTGGGTGTACAAGGGGTATATAAGGGGTCCCCATTCATGGGCTCATATTAAGAGACCATGTAACTACCCCTAAACCCTAAAATCTAAGCCCTAAACCCTAAACCCGTAGACCAGCGTTCAGGAGAATGGCGGCATGCTGGAGGCTGGCGGGTCGTAGTGGGCAGTCCCCCCCCCCCCCCCCCCCCCCCCCCCCGGCGCCCCCGGCCCCGCGCAGTATCTTGGGTTTCGGGTTTAGGGTTTAGGGTTGAGGGTTGAGGGTTTGGGGTTTGGGGTTGCGTTGCAGACTTTCGACACCCTAAGCCCTAGGCGCTTCAGCTCGAAGTATAACAGACGGCCCCCTCCACCCCCCCCCCCCCCCCCAAAAAAAAAGGCAAAAAAAACACAGTTCCACAGGGATGCAGAGTTTGAAGACGAAGGCTGCGCCAGCCTACTGACTTTAGTGTGGGTTTAGGGGTTCGGGGCTGAGGCTCTATAGGGTTGCATCAGCGCTCAAAAGGGTACCCTAAACCCTGAACCCTAAACACTAAACCCTAAACCCTAAGCCCTAAACCCCAAACCCTAACCTTAAACCCTTAGCCTCAACGGTTGGAGAGGCCTTCATGGTTCTGAGAGGGTTTAGGGTTTAGGGTTTAGGGTTTAGGGCTAGGCCTGCTCAGGACGCCGCTGCATGCCAAGAGCTTTGCGCCACGCGTCTGCAGGGGTTTAAGGGCTCAGGGCCTCCATCCTTCATGGGTTCCCCTCCTCCCCCCCTCTATACTACTGTTTAGGGTTTAGGGTTTAGGGTTTAGGGTTTAGGGTTTAGGGTTTAGGGTTTAGGGTTTAGGGTTTAGGGGGTGGGGGGGGGGGGGGGGGGGATGGATGGTTTGGGGACCCTATCCCAGCTGAAGCCATACGGTATCCGAAGCTTTGAAGCCCCCATGGGGGCTCGGGGGTGTCAAAGCTTTAATCTAGGGGTCGGAAGAAGTACTGTTAGAGTACTAGTAGTATTTCCTTTATGGCCCCTATATAATCCTGCTATGATAAACCACCCCCCCCCCCCCCCCAAAAAAAAAAAGCACTAAATTTTTGAGGCCCCGACTTTGGAGGTTCAGAGGTCAACCCTCAGATCATCCCACCTTTTCACGGGCCCTCTTTACGTAAGGCCAGCTATCTGAACGACTCCCTGTCCTAAATCCTGCAAATCATGGCTCAAGAGAAACTCTATGGGGGTGTTTAGATGCGGGTCTTTAGGGTTTAGGCTTTTAGGGCGTCTCTTTTTTTTGCGTGCCCGAAACCCTAACCTAGGACCTTGAGTAGGCCCTTATTTCCTTTTTTTAGGGTTGGGGTTCCCTTATATTCCCCTTTAAAACCAAAAATGGTACCCTTCTTGTTTGTAGGTTACTCCTGAGTCTAGCAACCCTGGACCCTGAACCCTTGAAACTCGACCTTAGAGAACTCCTGCCCTAAACCTTAAACCTTAAACCCTAAACCCTAAACCCTAAACCCTAAACCCCTAAAGCCCTCGCACCCCTGAACCCTAAACCCTAAACCCTCCTGAGGGGAAGATGCCGGGCTGCGCAGTATTCACGTACTACAAGGACAGCAAGGCTGGGATATTCATTCCAATGCCCAATCCTCAACCCCTGAAACTTGCGATGTTCCCATTCCCTTATTTTGCGAAGAGTCCCTAATGGGGATTAGGGTTTAGGGTTTAGGGTTTAGGGTTTAGGGTTTAGGGTTTAGGGTTTAGGGTTTAGGGTTTAGGGTTTATTAGAGTACCCCCGATTACAATCCCTATGACGGACTGTTAGTATAGAAAAGGGGAACATCCCAACCTGAAACCC